GCGCAAACAGCAGAAAATATTGTTTTGCAAAATGTGTTCGTTTAGAAACCTAAAAGAAAAATCAGGCAGAATTATACTGCAAACTATCAAAAGTGAGACAAAAAGTTTGTAGCTCAAAAGTTTTTGAAAACTGAGCAAATAATGTTAGCTAATTTTGGTTAGCTGCCACTCATGCTAGCTCATTGTATTTATATTTGCGTTTTTGTAAAATAAATTCTGTTGTAAAAATCCCAAATTTTGTCGACAAGTTCATTTAATAACAACTTATTTGAATATCCTGATGCATGCTCAATAATCCAGATAGAAATATCTAAAAAAAAGTTAAGTCTGGTCCTCTGGACATTCAAAAAACAAAAAGCAAAACAACAACAACAAAAAAATGTAGAAACGTTTCATCTTTCATCTGAAAGACTTCCTCAGTCTGAGGTGCTGTATTCAGCTCAGCCTTATAAATAGCACCTTCTCAGGGTGGATCAACCAGTTTGCTGCTGACGACCAAAACCAGCAGCTCACATGATCAAGAAGGACCATCAGCCTAACAATGGGTCATTAGCACACTGATGGCTGTTTACTATTCACAGAGGGTTGAGTGACTTATTTGAATGTTTACATATTTTTTTTAATTGACAAAAGGCAGTTCCAATATTTTCTGTCCTTTAATGATCACTCATTTATTGTGACCTGTAGTTAATTATTTATAGTCAAGTCAAATACAACATTTATTTTCACACTTCTAAACATGTCCTGTGTTTTATGTATTTATTTACAAATTTGTTTCCACTTTACCATTATTTTAAATGATTAGCTCTTAGAATGCTGTAAAACATCTGGTATAAATCAACTCAAGCGTCTTTCTCACTCTTTTCTGCTTGGATCACAACAGCTTTAGCAACAGCTGGACTGTTTGCACTGCTGTAATATAAAGAGATACAGGGCTAGTTGGCTAAGAATTAACTTCGGTGCTCAGTTTTAATTTTACAGGGTTTAACCGTGCCTAGCAGCCAAGCTTCTTTCTTGATTTGTCATTGCGGATACAA